CTGTGCAAATAAGCTGTGAGAAACAAGACAGACGTTTCTGGATGACAGAAGTTACAAACATTTGAGATTAGAGTATGAGAGAGACGGTTTGGCAGTTCCCAGTGCCTTGCTCGTGTGTCTGACAGCTCTGGGAGTGCAGGGTGCCTGCCTGCTAGGGAGTAACACTGTGTATTAGAAAGCACATTTGGATAGAAAAAAGCTGTGCTCCTTTTAGGTAAATATTTGCAAACCCTTCATAAAATCTGGGACATCACTGCTGAGCCATGCTTCTACATGGGCAATAGTAGAATTGTTCCAGATAGACAAAAATCAAAGCTGTTTACAAACAGCTGGCTGAACATGAGCCAGCAGTGTGCCCAGGTGGCCAAGAAAGCCAACAGCATCCTGGCCTGTATCGGGAACAGCGTGGTGAGTAGGACCCGAGAGGTGATCGTCCCCCTGTACTCAGCACTGGTGAGGCCTCACCTCGAGTACTGTTTCCAGTTTTGGGCCCCTTACCACAAAAAAGACACTGAGGTGCTGGAGAGGGTCCAGAGAAGGGCAGCTGGGGTTGTTTAGGCTTTTATAGAATCATAAAACGATACGGGGTTGGAAGGGACCTCTGGAGATCATCTAGTCCAACCCCCCATCTAGTTTAGCCTGGAGAAAAGGAGGCTGAGGGGAGACCTTATTGCTGTCTACAACTTCCTGAAAGGAGGGTGTAGAGAGGTGGGGATCGGTCTCTTCTCCCAAGTCACAGGCGACAGAACTAGAGGAAGTGGCCTCAAGTTGCACCAGGGGAGGTTTAGATTGGATATTAGGAAAAATCTCTTCACCAAAAGGATTGTCAAGCATTGGAAGAGGATGCCCAGGGAAAGTGGTTGAGTCACCATCCCTGGAGATGACATGTAGATGTGGTGCTTAGGGACATGGTTTATGGTGGACTTGGCAGTGCTAGGTTAATGGTTGGACTTGGTGATCTTAAAGATCTGTTCCAACCAAAACAATTCTATGATTCTGTTCTATTCTCCTCAACATGGCTGCTTTGTCTGGGACTCGCAGGCACCTCAAGCGCAATGAAATGGCTTAAAACAAAGAGAATCATAAACACTGAGCAGAGAGCAGGCGGTGAAGAATGACATCAGATCAGAGCCTTCACGTGTCAGATCCCAGCTGGTCCTTGGGGGTCAGTGGGCCACCCCAGAGGCTTCCTCCACTCCATCCCTCGTGGGCGGGGGCAGCGTGGGGTGCAGGAGGTGCCCCGGGCAGAACGGGGTCAGGGACTGGGGTTTCTCTGGAGCCTTGTGGGTGCTGGGTGCCAGCTATGGCATGAGAGCAGGAGGGGTGCTCGGGTGCCTGGTCAGAAACAGTTAGAAGGGGTAACCGATGCAGACACTCAACAGACACTAATTCTGCATTGCTTTTAAATTACCTATCAACAGATTTTTATATTTTTTTTCATTTCTTTTTTTGCTGCCTGCCTCTCTGGTGGCCAGGGTCCCACATGCTCACATTTCTATAGGCACCACCTGGGCAAACAGCACCCCACTGTTCAAAGCTGGGCTTCTGCAGCAGCTATGGGGGGAAAAAAAAAATCTCAAGGGGAAAAAAATAAAGTTGCACAATTCCTTTTCTTGAGAATAAGGGCAGTTAGCTGAGCTCTCCAGCGTGGCACTGACAAGACGAGACAGCTGCCTTGGAGCCAGTGTGTTCAAACATGCTGCCGTTTTCCTGTTACATGAATCAAAACCAGCACACACCAGCTTTCATCTGGATTTCATTATTGTGATTTATATCATAAGGACTGTTGTCTTGCAGGAAGCAGGAGTATACGGAGTTGGGAAGGGGGAAGAGGGGGGGGAGATTCTTATCAACAGGACAAAATTGACAAATCTCTGTGTTTAAAAATAGCCGTACCTCCTTACGGGTTTCAGTTTTAAGCAGTCTGCTTATTCTCAAGCCTCTTGAGTGCTTTGCTTTAAATAAAAGTTTTTAAAAAGTGAGCTTTTCTCCTCCTGAAGAGAATTTAGCTGAATTCTGGCAAATCTCCCGTGGGCTGGAGGAGTCCCAGGTAAAACAGGCTGTGGGGAAAGGTGCACCCCAGGGCAGGGGAGGGGGCTGCTGTTGTGTGGCAGAGACCAGGGCTAATTTCTGGCATAATTACTGGGCAGCTGAGACTGGAGGATGGCCGGGCCCTCCCTCCCTCCACTGCCAAGTGGTTTTTATCGGGCAGGCGAGGTTCCTGCGTGATTGCGTCCTTCTTCTCTGCGCAAGGGAAGATGATTACCTGGAGAGAGCCAAAGGCAAGTCTGCCAGAAAAGCCCATGATCACTTTGAGGGAGATAATTAAGATAAAACTAAGGAGCTCCGTGGTGATGGAGAGCAAACAACGGGCAGTTAGGCTGGCAGTGAAGCGTGAAATAAGGTGTCACGTAGCTTTGCACAGTAGGACCGAGCTCACTCTTTCTAGGATTGCCCAAGACAACCAAAAAAGGCTGGTAATAACTGAAATAATCTTTGGATTTAATAGCAGGTAACCTTTATGTGCTCAGTGTCTCTTTACTCTGTTAAGTGATAGCAGCATGAACTTCATTTGCTTGGAGTAGCAGATGGCACTAGTCTCAGTTATGTTATGTGGCTTGTTTCACTGGTCCTCTTAACAACAGTACTAAGAGGAACCTTCTTAAAAATATGTAAAACTCCCAGCATATCCGTGTGTCAGAAGCACCCAACCTGCTGATGATCCTCTGCCAACAAAACCAAGGAGCAGGCAGGCCGGCAGTGACCTCCCAGGGAAAGGGAGGAGAGGAGTAATTGGTAAGATCTTCATTCTTCTGCTTCGGAGGGCTCAGCCCTGCCAGGTGAGATGAAGCACAGGAGAAGCTGTCTGTGACAAAGAGCCACGGCCACAGGGGCCATGTGCGTATGTCCTTCCAACCCCAGCAAGATTAAAACCAGGCGGACCCATGCGTTCACTTGAAGCCTTTTCCCTCCAACCCTGGATAGGGCAAGGTTTCTTCTCCCTGCCTTTTCCTTACTTCCTTTTATTCAGGCGTGGTAGAATGTTGCCCACCTCAGTGTCAAGGCAGTGTATGAGTTTTTAACCCAAGTGGCAGCACAATGTCTGCCCAGACCTGCGCTCAAGCTCCTCCGTACCCATGTGGGGCGGCAGGGGGGGAGTGAAGAGGGTTGATGGGGCTTTCTCCCTTTTGATGATTTCTTATAACTGGCAGCTTTCCATAATAGGGATGAGCTTCCTTAATAAATTACCCCCTGCACTGAGTAAAATTTGGGCTGCTGCCTAACAGGTTAAGTGTGTCGGAGGGGGCTCACAGGCATTTATACTTAGGGAAACGGGCAGGCGGCTGTTCTGTGTGATGTGCCCAGCAGAATTACCTGCCAGGACATAGCAGGGAGCAATTTCTCTGGGCAGATAATGCTTCTCACATTGCAAATCAGATAGCAGAATGGCCCGCATTTTAAAGTGTGTGTATGACCATAACAGCACCCCGTGGCAAGGAGTTGTTTTTTCGCTCTCTATTACAGTGTGTTTACCTCAAATACTGCTGTGTGCTATTTAGGGAAACAAATGCTCTGCTTTCTTTTAAAATCCTATAATTACCCATTATTTCGGTACTATATCTCCTAAATGAAGTGCAGGAAAAGCTAGGAGTGTTTTGCTCCCCTTCATGCTCATTTCAGCTCCAGACAAGACATGATCAGATAACAAGAGTTGTCCAATTGCTCTCTAGAGCCATTACACTCTCTCCTCCCCAAGCCCTTCCATGTATCGTTTTAGTTATTGAAAAAAATTGACAAGCATATGCAGTCATATTTGGTTAATTTAGATTCCCATGAGGATATAAATACAGCTCAGCTCCATCTTCTATAAAGGCATAACATGCGACAAGTGTTTTTGCATGCCTCTTTCCACATCTTGTTGAGCGTTAACAGCCCTTTGCCATAATACAGGTTAATCAGAAACAGAAATTAGAAGGGAAAAATCATTTCATTGGGAGTAGAAGGCACTGAACTGCAGACTGCTGCTCTCCCCCTGCCCATGCTTGAAGCTGACTGGGAGCTGGATGCTTGGTGGGACCAGTCCCTCGGCTGCCCAAGCTCAGGCTTTTCTCTGCTTCTCTCCGAGAGGCAGAAGAGCCAAAGCCAGGAAGAGAATTGACACATCCCCAAAATGAAGGTTGGTTTGTTGTTCAGCTGGTGGATTTTTGGTCAGTTGAGTGGTCACAAAGGATTTGGGTAAAATGCTTCTTGAAAGAAGACTGGAGGAACAGGAGAAGTGCTGCACAACGCTTCAACGCTGCTGGCGTTGAAGGACTGGCCAGGAGAATCTTCTGCTGCTCGGGGAAATTCTTTAGGTTGTGGCAAAAAGGAATGTCAAGCTCAATGTAAAGGAAGTAGACTGTACACTTTGAATGTTGTCCTAACTCAATATTCTTGTCCACTTATTGCCTAACTTATGACAGCATCACTGTCTTGCACTCTACTGAATGACCTGCTGTGTGGGCTAATTACCTGTTTTATCACAAATGTGTGCCGTGGCAGCCAAGAACTTGTACCAGTGTTCCCTTTGAGGAATCAATTTGAGAGAAACTCACAACCTGTCTCAGAACTGCATGGAGATAAGCACACAAAATGAGGCCAAAATCGGGTCATCAAATCAGTTATTGTGATGATCTTTATTTTTTTGGTTTACCGAGACTTCTCAGCTAGGTTTTATCTAACCACATTTAGCTTAAACTCACTTTTAGCAATACTTGGAGGATCCTAATAAGGTCTGTGTTGTTCAGGGCATGTGCTGAACAGTCATCTCACATTTCAGGTGACTTGTTCTGAGGGAGCAGTCACAAACATATTGTTGCCTTAATTCAGACTGGATTTCCCCCTCTCCTGAAAGCGTTGGGATTGACTGGCATTTGTTTGCTATTCCTTGCTTTTGGAAATTGAGAGATCTTGTTTGTTACAAACTAAAAGAGAAATTCTCTCTTGGCCATATGTTACAGACCACCGTCATAGACTACGTGAAGCCATCAGATCTCAAGAAGGACATGAATGAGACCTTTAAGGAGAAGTTCCCTCACATCAAGTTAACCCTCAGTAAAATAAGAAGGTATGTTGCCAAGCTTGGTGAGGCTGCAACGTTTCGGTGCAATTGCTGCTGTATACGAGGGGAGGCACAGCATGGATTGATCTTCCAGGAGCAGTGACCAGCAGGGTGCAGCAGTCTCACGTTTCGGTGCAATTGCTGCTGTACATGAGGGGAGGCACAGCACGGATTGATCTTCCAGGAGCAGTGACCAGCAGAGGAGCAGCATAAGTCAGAGGATTGCTTTGATTAGTGGGCTGAGTAAACAAGAGATGGGAATGTACAAACACACACCGGTCAGGTGTCAAATGCGGCGTCTAATGGGATGAGGATGCGATCTGGGCATGCACTATACTAAAGTACCCAGAAAAATAACGCAACAGAATCTTTAAGCTCATGGCACTTGGCTTAAGAAATTAAAATGCTGAGTTTTGTGCCTTGTCCAGGGAGTATGGCCAGAAGGAAAACAAGTGGCCAGCTTCACAGCAAAGTTGTAGTATTTCATCACTCTTTCCTGTGTAGCAGACTAGACATAATGCTTCACTAAGTAACGATAATTTCATTTGACTGAAGTGGCCAGAAGGCTACCGAGTCGTGTTGCTCTGTATTCAGACCATAACTGCAGTATGTGGAAAAAATGTCACTTTGGATTTGACCAACTATAACCAGCAGCAAAGCTGCATATAGAGCACGAACAATCAAGCTGTTGTTACTATATAAAGTGTATGCACCTTGAGACCTCTGATGAAATATTGTTACTAAAAACATCAAAGCTTTTCAGTTGCTTTTAGAGTTTGACACAACTATCTGTTGGGGGCAGTGAGGAGGAAGAGGGAGGTCAAAATGTGCCGTGAAATGTGTCCCCAAAACAGAGCAATTAACGTAATGTAATTAATGTAAATTATGTTTTCCTTTTCCCTCCATTTGATCCAATCTCTGGAAGGATGGCTCTTGGGGTGAAATGAGAAATGCTTCAGAACACAGTTCACAGCATACACTATTTCTCTTTACTCAGCTTGAAGAGAGAAATGCGCAAGCTTGCTCAAGAAGAATGTGGTTTTGAAGAGCCTACAGTGGCCATGGCCTTTGTCTACTTTGAGAAGCTCGCTCTCAAGGGGAAGCTGAACAAGCAGAATAGAAAGCTTTGTGCTGGAGCCTGTGTTCTTTTAGCTGCCAAAATTGGCAGTGACCTCAGAAAACATGAAGTCAAGCATCTTATAGATGTACGTATCCATACGTTTCCAGTGTTCCTTCTACATGAAGTGCTAGTGTGTGGTGTGGTCTGTGCAAGGCTGCTTGTTAGTAATCACTCTCTCATCTAGGTTTCCGGCTGTACAGCCAGCTAAATGCCTTTTATTTTTGTTATACATTTATGTGGAAGTATTAGTGAACAATGTCAAGCTCCTTTGGAGTGATTCAAGACCCTGGTGTCAGATACTGTAAGGTCTGAGAGGTATCTGACCGCCACTCTGTCAATACAAGCCAGAAGTTAAACCTCAGGAAATTAATTTTGCTTTTAATTATGTTTTCAAGAGTGTCAATAAGGGCTTTCCTTTGAGAGGTAAATGCAGGTACTAATTTCAGAGGGAGTCTAATAGACAACCGAGTTTGTACTTCTTTCGTCAAGTTAAGTTTCGGGCAAGAAAACTTGAAGAGGTGTTCCCATTAGAACATCTCAGCCCAGCTGGGTGGTTTTTTTGGTAGAGTAAGGTGTTTGGTCATCCACTCACTCCATATAAAAGAGTTAACAGAAGGGAGTGTTATTCCATAATCCATTTGCAAGCACCAAGACAGCAATCTGATTTAAGGCTACAGAAAGTTAGGGCAGGTGGCCGGGTAGGTGGCTACAACAGCTCACATAGTTCAAGAAGCATGAAAACTTGCTTGGGGGGCAGAACTGGGCTTGTGCCCTTCTGCTACCATCACAGAGCTGGGTGGACAGCTTATAAAGCCCTCCGAATAACCAGAAAGAGAAATCAACCCGATGGGAGTTGGAAGGTCTGGCCTCTCTTGCTACCCTGAAAAATTGGTCCATACTTAAGACACGTTGAAATTTTCTGTAGATCCTCTGTGGGCAGAGAAGGATGGGGAGGGATGCTGAATAGCTGGTTGCCTACTCGTAGCGTCCAAATCCAGTGAAAACAGCAGAGCAGATGGGAGGTTTAGTACATTACAGCAGAAAGCCAGCTACGAAACCCATCTCATCCCCCTTGAGGACAGTAATTTCTATTACTCACTGTTCTTATGGTCCTTGCAGATGACACCTTCTGCCTCTGAGGTATTAAGATCAAATGTATCTAATTGTAGCAGAAATAATTTCCCCAACAGGGTTTTGTAACACAGTCTAATGCTGAAAAGAAAATTAGTGATTTCAAGCAGCGCAGGAAGTTTGTGGGCAGTTACGAGATGCACGTCTCCCATTAACACCAGTGATTTTGGTGTTTGCTTGAAGCCAGGATTTTCCCCTTCCTGCAGTGGTAATCTCTGTGATCATTAGAAGATGTGTCTGCTGGAGATGGAATGAGTGAAATGACAAACATGTCAGAAATAGCATGGCTGGCTGAGCTTTGTGAGTTCACCTTCACGGCAGGGAATCGGTGCCTCCAGTTCATCCTGCTCTCATTTGCTAAACCTCGAGCCGTGCAAGTCCAGCAGGGCAGAGGTTTAATGACAGCAGCACGTGTGGCTTGAGTAGTGTCGTCTGTAAGAAAGCGCTAGAAATTCAAATCCTCACTCGCAAAGACTTTTTATTTTATTTTACTATGTTATTTTTTCTTCCCTGGGCTGTCGTTGCAGAAACTGGAAGAGAAGTTCCGGCTGAACAGGCGAGAGCTGATCGCCTTCGAGTTCCCGGTGCTGGTGGCCTTGGAGTTTGCTCTCCACCTTCCTGAGCACGAGGTGATGCCGCACTACAGACGCTTGGTGCAGAACTCCTAGCGCTGGCTGCCCTGCGGGGAAGGGGCTCCCGACTGTTCCCACTCGGCTCTTCTGAGCCACACTTACTACTGGAAATGCAAAACCAGACAGACTCCTGACACTTGGCTCGCTCTCTCCCCAGTACAGTTTTTCCGGCAACCTGTAGGGAAACGCTGCGTCGACGTGAGACTCTCAGCTTTGATAAATTTACGCATCGTTTGCTTTCTCAGAGCAGGTGAAGACTGAGCTGTTGGTAAATGGTTAACGCGCTGAAGCTGGGTGGCCACTGACCCTACCTGTGGGGACTACAGCTATGAAAGTAGGCAGAAATTCGAAGGGCAGCCTTCGTGACCACCCCTCTCTCTCTCCATCACACAAACCCTGGAAGCCCACGTGAGTGCATTCTCATAGTGCTTTTTCTACCAGACCTGCTGCAACTTCCAAGAGGACTTCTTAACGTGAAAAAGCTTTTAAAGAGGATTATCTTCACTGTGTCAAAAAAGAATGTGCCAATCTATTTTTGTATCAGCAATTGAAAGTGCACTTTTTCCTGTGGGGTGTTTGTGTGTGTAGCCGTGTGTGTGTGCGTGTGCGACACCGAACTGATCTCAGTGCAGGTGGTTGGCTTAGCTGTTTCCGAGTGTATCAGTTACCGATGGCCAAGATCAAGGTGACCTTACGTGTTTACTTCTTGAAAAACATAACTACTGGAAAAGTGGTAAATGGGATCATTTCTGGACACTTGGTTTTTTTTTTTTTATTCTCTGATCTTTCCGACGTTGTACCTTTGAAAGGATTACACTACTACTACTACTACGAGAGAAGGATCAGCAACTGACCTGGAGTTTTCAGTCATGTTTGTGATAAAGATGAAAGCATTAGTATGAGATTTCCATGTCATGTTTTTTAAAAATATCTTGTGTTAAGCCACATGCATATTTTTAACCTTCGCACTTTTCCCACTGTGGAGATGGTTAGACTTGCACTCTGTAGTGTTGTATTTCTGTGCTCTATGTTAGAGTGCGTAATAAGCACATTTATTGTGCTGTTTCTTAAAACAGTGTTTTATTAAAAAAAAAAAAAAAGAGTAGGGCTCAGCAGTGTAACAGGTGTCTTAAGGCTCCAACAGCAGGGGCATCAGCTCTCGTTGAATTTTTTTCGGTTTTTAACTAGAATTGACTGTGCAAAACCTAAAATCAGTGCCCGTTGAAGCTAAAGGTCCAGTTCCTTTAGACATTTCATTACTGGAGTTTTACAGTAAAACTTCTCACAGCTTCCCTGGTTCTGACTGGACACCCAGAAAGCCGGAGGGTTTCACCCGAGCTCCCCGACGCTACATCCACGCTAAGCTGGCGCCAAGCTTACGGACATCCTTCACTTGTTGTCACCCTGTGAGGTTACACCCCTGTCCAATCTTCTCCTGTGCTGGTTCACTTAACAAGCCTTGCCCTCGACATGCCCCACACGGATCCAGTAAAGTCAAATACTTTCAGCTACAGTATTTCTAAAATTAATAATAAAAAAACCAACCAAACAAAATTAAAATCTCAAGCATGAGATTTTAGCTGAAGCCTTACCTCTCTTAAGTTTGGGAGTGCTTGCTCAGAGTATGGAAAGGGCTTGTGAGCAGAACGTAGAGAAGTGGGACGTAGCAGAGGATGTAAACACACTAATGCTTATTTTCTTTCGCTCTTACAGTTTTATTAACTTACAGTTTTATTATTTCCTTCAGTTAGGCCAGGAAACATCCAGTTTCTTTACCAGCTTTGACTCCTTTAAATTCTAGCATGAAAAACGCCTGCGTGTGATTGCTCTATAGGATCTGGAAAGGTTACACATGTTAGGACAAAGGGGAACTTGTTTGATGCTGTTGCTCTCCCTCCATTTTAAGGGGGAGGGTGACTGTGCTAGCTTACAGTTATTATTAATAGTTATCTAATTACTGATTAGATACATTCCAACGGGATTGGGGAGGAGGGGGTAAAGAGAAAAAGCATGCACTTACCTCCCTGGTGCAACGCCCCGTGTCTCTGCAACCCACGTTGTCACTTGGCCGGCTGCAGAATGAGGGGAGGGGGACCTTCCCCGGCACTTCTGCTCCCTCCTCCTCCTCTTCCTCCCAGCCCCCACGCAGCCAAGGAACACAGGAGCCAAGAGCCTGGAGCACGCCTAACGCCTACAGCTGCCCTGGTGGTTTATTCAACCCAAAAAGGCAGTGTAGGGTTGACCTAGAAGCCAAAATGGTCTGCAGGTCTGCCAGGAGGGCTTCCGGCCTTGGCTGCATCCCTTCCCACCGAAATCTTGTATATACGTTCAAGATTTGCTTCTGATTGCAGAGATCTGTTTCTAATAGCGACCACTCAAGGCTAAGCAGAAGCTTTACCATTCCGTAAAGGCTTCTACCTTTTGCTTTCGAGTCTGATTTTTTTTTTTTTTTTAATGTTGCTTTATAGTATTGCAGGGAAAAAAGCAAATTGTGATTGCAAGATGCAGACTAAAGAATGACAGTCTTACAGTAGTCTTTAGAGACGCTATTGAATCACGCTGTCACATCTTTTGTCTTCTGTGCTGCTACCCAACCCTGACCTACAGTTTACACAGATTTCTGGGATGAAATCTGATTGCTGGAGACTTTCTGCTTTTTGTTGTTGTTCTCGTCGTCGTCGTTTTGGGGGCGGGAAAGGGTTTCGGAGTGATGTTCAGTTACAGTTTGAATGTGGAATAAACACTTAAGATGGTGATGATGTTGCACTGTTCACTTAGGAACGTATATAAAGCCATATGATGCTAGATATCAGAGCACAAAGCTTGGTCAGTACAATTATGGTTAGGACAACGGGCAGGATTTGCCCCCCTTTTCTCCCCAACCCTGGGAAAATAAATTCAGGCTGAAGTGGTAGAGGAAATCTGTACCAAACGAAAAAACCATGTTGATTGTTTGCCTTTGTCTTACATGGTAATGAGTGTTGATTTACAAATGATTTTAGGTTCGAGTTTAAATAGTTTGGGAAAATAATCCATTCCATATCACTTGTTCTGTTTTGAAATTATATACCGTACACTCTACCATGCAGAGTTTATTCCTTTTCTAAAAAAAATAAATAAAAGTTTTAAAAAAATTGAAAAACCCAGACTCTTTTCCACCAATGACAGTATGTAAAATTATTCCATTCTCTCATTTGTATGTGTCAAATGTTTTTGGTTTTGTCATCCTCTAGGACATAAAGCTTCTTATTAATAAGCCAATGGTGGGATTGCCCTGTGGCCCTCGCAATCTCCTGGCATTCATCTCCCTGCAGAGCCCTCACTTCCAGGGTCTTTCCTCCAGCACAGATTTTAGTCTTCTTTTTCCCAGACCATTGTTTTGGGTTTGGGATTGGTTTTTTGAGCCCTTCTTTTTGGCAGTAGCTCCTTTTCCTGGAGCTGCCAGGCCCTGATTCTCCCAGTCCAAACGATCAGTGTGAAGGATGAGGCACAAGCAGGCTCCTCAGCATTGTTTGTGTCTCACGACCACTTGTTCACTGGAGAATTAGAGGTACACCACTTCGGTTTAGTCCAGTTGGTAGTAAAATTTACAACTGGTCCCTGCACTAGTTGTAGTTCATAAGCAGCTGCTTCTGTTTGGGAGATTGAAAGTTCGGTTTGGGACATTCATGTGCACACACCCAATTATCCACCACCTATTGGCATTCAAGTTGTTTTTTTCCTCCTATGACACCCCCTAAATCCAACACCTATCTAGGTGGTCTGGCCAAACAACACCCATTTATTGTGCGTTTTCATTCCACATTAATAAAGTTATGCAAAAGGCTTGGCTCCCTACCTCCACCCGTCACTGTCTGGGTTCTCCAGGGACCCACAGCTGTAATCATATTTGTGGCTACACAAACATTAGCTGGATTTACAGAGAACCCAGGATGTATAAATACACAGAAAAATGCTTTACTAATCGTTTTCCAGAGCTACTTACTAACAGGCAGTGGCTTCTTTGGGATAGTCTGTAACGTCTTTAAATGATACAACTTCAGCTAATTGCTCCGGCTTCCTAAAATACAGAGCCCACAGCATAAGCGTTCCCTGGAAGCCGTGAGGAGTAGTTTGTTAGGAGATGGTAACACCTTCCCACGAGGCTAAAGGATTTTGGCACCAGGCCCCACGTTAAACATTTTTCTTAAAAGAAAAGGTAAAAGTAGTTTAGCGAGGTGAGAGACGGAGCCATCACAGCAACAATGTCAACATCACTAGCTGAGCCTGAAATCTGTCCCAGGTTGAACCTTGGGGAAGAGGCGGGGGGGGGGG